CGTTCTACAGTTCACCGAGGTGAGCGTTTATAGTTACTTCAGTGAGCGGGAATGGGCGAGAAAATGTCGCTGGACGCGCACAGCGCATTCCACTCTGCTAATTTCCAAACATTTCTGCTCATACCCATCCCTTTTCCTTTGCTTTCCTTTCGTTTCGTCCACTTGATCTCGCAAAATCGGTAAATCGACTGTTATCGACCGAAATCTACGAATTTGCGAAACTACACGCATATAGCCAACCTCAGTGGGCGGAGGGTGAGCGACAAAATGTCGCGCAAGCCTTCAGCGCATTTCAAGTCGCGATTTCGCAATAATTTCTGCTAAAATCCAGCCAGGATTTTCCCTTTCTCTTGTTGTAAATGATCTCGTGAAATCAATAAATCGATTGTTATCGATTAATATCGACGGGTTTGCAGAACTACGTGCTCTTTCAATCGTTATCGGCGATACATCTACAATCACAGCAGCTTGTTCAACGGCGGCCACCACCCAGTTATGATCAGTTGTATATCGTGGAACTTTGCCATCATTCAGGTGATCACTTTTAACCGCTTTTCTGGAATGCGCCACGCATTCTCCTTCCGTTCAGCATCATAGCTGCGATGGGACTCACTAGGTCCTCCTCCCAGATAAGTCTAGTTCTGCTCCAGCTGGACGAGATTCGATCCAGCATGTAACACTCGAACATCGGCGCGGTTTGCATTGCCGCTCACCTCTGCGTCATCTCGGCACAAAGACAGGATAAAAGAGAAAACGTTTCGCGTCACTTTGACCCTATTCGGTCTACGCTACGCACCCTACTTCTACTCAGAGTGGTGGTGACATAACTATGATTTTCGTGCAATATTACTTTGAAGGGAGGGGGGGAAGTGGGTCAGCGTTTAAAAAATCGCCACTTTGCGCGCGGTTAGCGGAGCCAGTTGTCACTACAGTACCTCTGCTACAGTATTAACGATAACGATGATACGATGTCATTCACCCAAAAGGGCCGTTGATTGTACCATATTGCGATCCATAACAAGATAATAGACTGTTAAAAGCCCCACTTGTTTCAGGATCGTGTACAACTGCAAAGATAATGATGTCCGAGCATGTGGACGAGGAAGCACGCCCAGAAACGCCTCCTCCGTGTTACGAACTGGCAGTAGAGGCACTGAAGTCGTCCCGGAGTCAGATTCGGTGAAAACGGGGGCGGCTCGGCGCCATTCGGCTTGGTGGGCGCACCATATGGTACTTAGCAAATCTAGTTCTTGCCACCTTAAGCAAGACACACCTGAGGAAGACCTGTGAATTCATGAAAACAAAGTGGCTCGCTTATACCCCACCTCAGCTTCAGAGGAGTTTACAGGTCTTAAAAAAGTGTAACCTGTTAGTTAACATGGATTAACAAGTTACTAACCAAAGTGCAAAATGCCCTCCCAAGCCGAACAGCGCCTCCCAGCTCTACTGGAGACCTCTCGACCGCTGGACCTGCTGGGATCAGGAAATTCGTGCAAATGTGGATATCTGTGATACGACGGGTATACAAGGGGTAATGATCGACCGGCTGATGGGAACAGATCGAGAGGCATTTTTTACATGAGGGTTTTTCTGGAATCAATCCACAACCTACCACTTTCATCGAATATCATTGATCACTTATCACTAAGCACCGCTCTGGACGATCTTGTTCCGCGTTTCATCGCTTTCTGAACTTCGACGTCACCAAACCTTGAACGTTCTCTCTCAAATCGTTGATCTCATTGTCTGCTGACAAAAAATCGGCCGCCATTATAATGATTGATTATTCACCAGTAGCTATGTACATATATTCTTCGAATAAATCCGTTCGGAATAGTGAGATGGTTTCCAAATTGGAGCCCGTTGGCTCTGAGCGATCGATATATCGATCGGAGCGATCAATACATCAATCGGCCAAATCGATATAACGATTACATTGATAGATATGGTTCATCAATTAAAATTGGGCATTTAGAAAGATGAAAAACAAATGCATATAGTAAAAATGGTTCACAGTGGTTAACCAGATCTCGCAGTCAAACAGCTACCAGAACTTTAGAGGTGATGTTATGTTAAATTTCAGGAAAAAATTACTCACCAAATTTGGCGTCTTACTCCGTTCCTGACCCGGCGTAAGTTGATTGGATCCTCTGGAGAGACACCCGTTTAGATCACACTTTAGCCAATGGTGTAAAGCTTGCCCTGTAACGATTCGCATTGCTTCCTGACCTTTTGAACCCTGGACTAGCAAGCTCAAATTTGGCGTGTAAATTGGGCAGTGTTCAGACTTCTCAACGACATGCATAGACGTGCGTCAGCGCGAAGTCTGAACGCTTCTCACCTACGGATGAAAGTAGCTACGCTACCTGTATGAGTGTCGATGGTGATGGTTATGATTGTCTTGACCCTCTCCAATTGTTCCGCCACATAAAGTTGGTCAGTTTGAGCCCATTGACGTCGGACGCTACGCGACCGCGCGCCCATTTGCCAAGTATTGCCTCCGCAATAATGCGTGACAAAAAATGATCACCTCCTGTGCGGAATTCAGTAGAAGAAGATGAAATTTCAGAAGAACCCATGAAAAACAGCAGTTCATAAGTAGATTAATGAATGTAAAAACTACGAATTATCAACTTCTTCGGCGTTATTACAGCAAGAAACATAGAACATGAAACTACGACAGGGCTTTATAAAAGGATCGTGAACGAAAACAAGCTCAATGGTGCAACAGGCCGGAAATATGCAGCTTTCCAGATGGCCTGAACACGCTCGCCACTTATCGATAATCAATCAGAGATCAACGGCTATCAGCACCCCTTCAACACCTCTTGTGCTATACGATCCCATTGGAAGTGTGCCAAAGAAAGAAAAATCCTCTGCTGGGAACAGAAAAAAGGTGGTGCAGCTTTTTTGCGATGTGCCACGTGCTCCATTCACAATCATAGCGGTGGTTGAACGCGGTTTATCCTCATACAGTGCTGTTGTTCATTTCTGAGCTCCAAAAGAATCTGAGGCGCTGTTCGGCGATGGGAGGGGGGCATTTCTGCACTTTTCACTGCTGCACTAGTTCCGGTTTTCAGGTTTCACTCTGGTAAAGCCTGTGAACTCTTGTTAAGCTAGAGTAGGCTCGTCGAGCTACCATGATAAAACCTGTCAACCCTTGTGAGCTCATGAAATAGCACTCTGGTTAGTAGCAAAGTGTAAAATGCCTCCTTCTAGACCCGATCTCTCCCGAACAGACGAACTGCGCCGAATCTGATACTAGTTGACTGATCGCATGGAATCGAAATGCTTGGTTTGTCTGAACGGGAGTCGATCTGGGATTTGAACCACGACTAAGGTGGGAGGTTAGCGGAGCCATTTGTCACTACACCACCTCCTCTTTCTTCAAAGAAACCATCAGACAAACATTCGGATGGGTTGAATGGGTATGGTAGACAGGGGACTGGGACACTACTCTCAGTCCTGCTATCCTCTGAGCCTATATGGAACTGAGGCATGTGGCCTCTATACCGCAGAGGTGAAGAGAGCACGGCTTCTTGCAACATACAAGAATGGCGAGGGAAGCGTTTTTGTGTGCCGATTTTGTGTTTGAGGCAACCTATCTTGGATAAGGATATGATGAAAACATTCCTAAAATGGCAATAGCCAATAAAAGCGCAGCAGCGCTTACGCTACGCCCCCCCCCTCATTTCCGAAGAGGAGAACGATCCCATGGCCCCTGACATTAAAAGGCCCAGTCTCAAAAAAGAAGGTTTGGGTCACAGCGAAGCTGGCCAATCAGCCAGACAGCTTGTGGCTTCCATCATGACCACCGTCTTTCACTGAATCCCTGATCCTTCCCACCTCAAAAATTAATTCCACGGTGACTTGATGGGCGGGGAGTCACATCCATTGCACCTTATTTGGTACGCCTCTTTCCAATTTGGTGTAGAGGACAATGGCTCCAACAGGGGAG